AAAATAGGAACGAGAGCACTTGATTATAATTTCAAGGAGGAAAGGGGTGTGTGTGTGTGTATAAATAGTCCCTATTGGAGGACTATTTTTAGCTCTTTTGCAATAACAGTAATAGGTTCACAATATCCACACTCCATCCTATACCCGGTCTCTTGTGACCAATGACATAAGATACGTGGACTTTCATTTCTCAGAGGTTAAAGGGCAACTTGCAGTGTCAAGCGATATAGGGCTCGGTGGTCAGAATACAAAGGTAGAGCCTGGACTGCAGTCCTCCCCTCCATCAGGCTCTCATCCCAGTGAACAGTTTCACAGGCATCACGCCCACCCTCAGAGACAGAGAGTATAGCTTGAAAACATCCTTTACATCATGCTACGTATAGCTTTGAGTGTTCCACCCTGGGCATAATTTTTATGAATATTGAAGTTAGGAAACACTGAGCTACACTAAAGAAACCAAAGGAAAGTCTACATGTAGATAATCTCGGCATTCAAATCATTCTGCCTACGAAAATTATCAACTCCCTAAGCAAATAGAGAACAGAGAATTCTGAAGAGTTCCTCCTTAGCTGAAGAGCTTAGGCCTTTTAATTTAACTATTGAGCCCCTGATACCCTTATAGTATTTACAGATGCATGTGTCACTGTGAGGGTTTAGCAGGGTGATTCACGTGAAAGGACCTAGCACAGGGCCTGACACATACCTGAGGTTTCTGAAATTGAATCTGAATCATGCTTGATCAGACTCAAATATACACAGTTTCTGAAAAGTGGCAGAGAGAATTTGGCTACCTGCTTTCTATCTTTCCAAAGCAGCATTTCCTGTTGCGGCCCCACCAAAACAGCAGCCACCAGCTCACACTTGTCCGCTGGTGTCTAATTCCTTCCGGTGGTTTCCCATGGGGGTTAAGGGCTAAAGTTGGTGAGAGTCAAATATGCACTGGCACAACTGCATGCTGCCCAGTGGAATGCTGTTTACAGCAGAAAGTACGACGTCAGCACTTTCGATGACTAACAGCAGTGGCTTCTGTTTAAATCTCACTGTTCTAGAACACTCCTACATTTCTTGAAGCTGCATTTTAGCAGGGAGGGAATAATTCTTAACTGGGATCAAGGGATATTGAGAGCTTGATTTACAGGGAGAGTGTATGCAAAATGGCGTCTATAGTATATACCTTCTTCTGGAAGGGTCTTTGCAGCTTTCAACAGATTCTCTCAAAGGGATCCATAACCCCAAAAGGTTAGAAACTCCTGCCTTAAGGGAAGCCAGATGTAGTTACTACCACTCATGAAGTCACAAGAGTTCTAGAAGGAAGGAGTTTTTTTGCAGTATTTGAGGCAGCACAGACAGGTGCAAAGAGACAGAATGGATTCCAAGCCAAGCAATCAGGAACCCTGGGCAAATCATTCAATTCTCTGCAACCACCTCAGGTTTGTCATCCGTAAAATGCAGAAGCTAGTTCCTATCTTACATGGGTGACAAAATGAGTACCCGGCGTAAGGCCTGAGGATGGAGTCACCTTTCAGTAAGTGGGAGCTAAGCACTTTATTTCCTGAATATTGTTTACTGAAAATCATTACAAAGGGAGAACAGATCTGGAAGGAAATTCTGCTAGGCCTGAGAGAAATATGATTGCTCAAGACTTAAGGTGAAAATTAAAATTCCCTGGGCTCTGACTATATCCTTTTCTTGAGAATTAAAATCTTATGGGATTACAGGCCGGGTGCGGTGGCTCACGCCTGTAATCCTAGCACTCTGGGAGGCCGAGGCGGGCGGATTGTTTGAGCTCAGGAGTTCAAAACCAGCCTGAGCAAGAGCGAGACCCCGTCTCTACTAAAAATAGAAAGAAATTAATCGGACAACTAAAAATATATAGAAAAAATTAGCCGGGCATGGTGGCGCATGCCTGTAGTCCCAGCTACTCGGGAGGCTGAGGCAGAAGGATCGCTTGAGCCCAGGAGTTTGAGGTTGCTGTGAGCTAGGATGATGCCACGGCACTCTAGCCCAGACAAAAAGAGTGAGACTCTGTCTCAAAAAAAAAAAAAAAATCTTATGGGATTACAGAAGGAAAGTGAACCATATTCACTCATGCCCCACACTGAGTTTGAGTATTACCCACAGAATCTGCATTGACAGCTGGGTCCCCAGAAGAAAATTCTGGCCAATTTCAGTCTGCTTTTATTTTTATTTTTAAAAGGTATCTACCTAGTCTCTGTGATATAAAATTTAGCTTTGTATTTTTATTCACCTTTCATGCACACAGTCATTCATTTAGAACTACCTAGTGTTTCCTGTGTGCTAGGCACTTTGACAAGAGAGCCACAGTCCCACCCTCACCAACACTGGCAGGCTTATGCTCTGGTGGAGAAGGTGGGCACAAAACAAGATGCACTAGATAATGTTAGATGGTGATAAATGTGATGGTAAAAATAAAATAGGTTAGGGGTTGAAAGTTTGGGAGACTGGGGAGTAAGGAAGGCTTCCTTAGATAGCAAGGTCAAAGGTGGCCTCTCTATGGAAGAGTGAACAAAAATCAAACAGAGTGCAGACCCTCTTATGGCCCAGAACCAGGTCTTAGAAAGCAGAACTTTAAAGAAGAGAGGACTGAGTCGTCTCATCTAAACCACCCCAGCAAAGGCATGACCAGTTGGCAGGTATGTTTTACAAACGTAAAGTACTACAGATTGTAAACAATTTACCTTTATTAAATTCAAAGGGCTAGCCCTCTGATAGTTCACTCTCACTCAGCGGCATGCCTGTTATGTTTTCTCCTAGCGAGGGCAGAAGGGAAAACCATACACGTAAGCTAACCTATCAGGAATCATTCATAACACTGGAAACATCTTCAGGAGGACACTGCATCCATAATACAAGCCTTAATGGTTCCTAAGCTAAAGAAACAGATCCTTTATGTTCTGGCTACCGCTACCCCTCTATATGTTCTTTTCCCACCATGGTTCAACTTCTCCTCCCCTAATTATCTGCCACCTGGCCTTCCTTTTATTAAACGCTCTCAGAGCCTTAGCACAAGATATTTCCTCGCTGGAAGGCCTCACTCCCTACCCAACTTTCCTTTCCTCTCCTTACATAATCTCACAGATCTCAACTTAGATGGCACCTTCTCTGATCTCAAAATAGACCTCATGTTGGCCCTCATTTCACAAGCACTTTTCCTTCATCAACTCTCATCAGAGTTGGAAACTTTAATTTTCTGTGTGACTACTGACTGACTAATACCTGCCTCGCTCCCAGAGCATAAGTTCTATCACACTGTGAGGATAAGGGGGTAAGAACTTCATTACTGGTCACCATTGTTATTGCCACTTAAAACTGAGACTGTGCCATATTATATGTGTAAAACAAGTTTACTGAATCAAAGGGGAAAAAAAGTTGGTAATTAAAATTTTGCAGAAGTCCAGGGTTCAAATCATCCTACCATTTTTTCGACATTCACTTCAGTTTCCACATCTGTACAATGGGAGTGAACCACAACTCCTACCTTCTGTGGAATTAAAGGCCATACTAACAACAGAGAGCCCAATTTAACAAAATACAGGTGAAGAGGCTCTCACAAAGTTTCGTACTCATCTGCATCACCTTGGCCCTCAACCCTACTCTGGTACTCGGTAAAAATTTGTGGATGACAGACCAGTAGGGTGAGCAATTCATCCTGAGTTGACGGGGGCTTCCCCAGCTTTAGCATTCCCTCAGTCTCATGCAAATTGGGACAGGTGGTCTGCCTACACCAGGCACAGGTGGCATACACTATGTGGTACTGGACAGGAGAGCAAAGGAAGTAAGTTGAAATGTGTTGTTAAAAGTGGAATGAAAGAAAACATGCACAAAACCTGGAACGCAAATCCCTTCAGCCAGGGGATTCTCATCAGCGAACCCCTCAGCAGTTAAAAACAGACTCTGGAGTCAGAGCATCTTTGTCTAAATGCTAGCTTAGCGTCTGAGTTTCAGTTTCCTCATCTGTTAAATAAGAATTGAAAACAGTCCCTCCCCCAAAAGGATTATTAAATAATACATGCAACGCGCTTAGAACTGTGCCTAGCACACAATAAAGCCCCAATAATTATCCGCTGTTATTTCCTTGCCCTCATCCCCATTTTGTTTTTCTTCTATCTAGATATCTTTGAGCATCTGGGGAGACTTACGGGATTATAAACTGCAAACGGAAGTTTAGCTTGCTTAGTTGTTAAAAGGTGTGCTTTGGGAAAAACAAAGCATGAGTTTGAACTCCAGCTCTGCTTCTTACTAGCTGAGTCACTTTGGGGCTACTAACCACTCTAAGTTTCTCCATTGGCAGAGTGGGGGAAACCCAGGTACTTGCTGACTTGCTGGGAAGATAACGGATGAACCGACGGCTGCTGGGCCCTGGCACATCGTCCATCCCCAACAAATACTGGTTTTAGCCTGGAGGCAGCGGCATCGAAAATGGGCATGGGCGGTTACGCGCTGGACACAGGAGCTTTATGGCCTGATAATCCCAGAATGCAGGGGCTGCTGTGCCCATGATGAGCTGCGTAACCGAGGGCACGTCGCTCCACCTCCCCAGCCTCAGCTTCCTTACCTGTGAAGGACGGTGCTGGCAGCACCTACCCGTGGGCTTGCGTGGGCTCTACCAGGTAAAGCGCCAAGCGTAAAAGCCAACCGCAGTCAATGGGACCTGCGGTTTCCCACACCCCAAGGGCAAGACCTGGGCCGCGAGGTCCTCAGGCTCCACAGGGGCACCCTTAGCCCCGCAAGGGGCGGCCCAGAGCCCTCCAAGGGTCCCGGCCCGGCCGCCCTGCCCCGGCTGGCTGGGTGCCTAAGGAAACGCTCAGGGCGCCAGGCGCGGGCAGGCCTCGCCGCAGGGCCGCTCTCAGGGCCGGGGGTCTCGGCCCCGGGTTCCACACCGGGCTTCAGGGCTGCGCACCCCCCGCCCCCAGCGGCCAGACCCCGCGGCCGGGCCCCGGCCGCCGCCCGAGCATCGCGCGCCCCAGCGCCCCACTCACCGCCTTCTTCATGGTGGCCGCCATCTTGGGACTGCACTACGGCGCGCGGCGGGGAGGGCCGCAGTGGCCCGCTCCTCCCTCGAGCCCCCCTCAGTCTCTTTTGGCCCAGGACTGTCCCCCAAAATACAACACTGTCTTCACGTCCCCTCCTGTTGGATCTTTGACCGATGATGCCCAACGGCTAAGACTCAGGGAGGACATGTAACCTGGAAGGACTTGGTACATGCCAATTAAAGGGACAGGCCACTCCTCGTGAGCCGACATAAACAGGGGGGTGTGGCGAGTGGCTGCGGGCTCCAGCCGCGGGCAGCAGGAGGCGCGCGGCTCCCAGGAAGGGAAAAGTGTATCCAGCCAACAAACTTAACGCTGAGAAACCGCCCTGCCAAAAAAGGCAAGGAACTAATGTCCTCGGCACATAGGGTGTGAGGTTTATGTGTCTTGATAATTCAGATGGTGTTAAGGAGGAGACACTGATATTAGTTTATTCAACAATATTATTGAACAATTTCTGCACAGTCTGTGACACTTGTGCCTCCTTATTCTTAATTTTTTTTCTTTTTCTCTTTTGCCTCAGGACCCCTTTACACTCTAAAAGATTATTGAGGACCCCAAAGAACTTCTGTTTCTGTGGGTTATATTTACTGCATTAGAAATTAAAACAGTTTTTAAATGTACTAATTCATTTAAAATCATTTTAAGAACCTATTCCATAGTAATAAAAAATATTTTAAATTAAAAGTAACTATACTTTCCAAGACAAAAAAAAATATTGAGAAGAATGGCATAGTTTTACAGTTTTGCAAATAGTCTGGCTTAATGGACGGTTAGATGCTCATATCTACTTCTGTATTCAGTCTCTTGAGATACGTTGTTTAGTTGTATATAAGAAAAAATCTATCCTCATACAAATATGTGGTTGGAAAAGGGAGCCCTGTGGATCTCCTGAAAACGTCTCAGGGACTCTAGGGGTCCACCGGCCACAGTTTGAGAACTGCTCTCTACACAAGCCTTCTCTTCTCTCAAAGCCCCGATTTCCTCTCTGGTTGAGTGGGAGTAGGGGGGCCTCATAGCACCCTGGTCTCTTCCTGCTGAAGCACGTAGCCCCACGTGGGCATCGCCTGGTCCCTCCGTCAGCTCCTGGCTCTGGACGCCCTCACATTGGCATTGTGTTTTCCCTGTGTCTAGCTTACGTGTGCTTAAGATGTATTTGTTGAATGAAGGAGGTTTTTTTAGGGTTAAATCTTTGCACAGGGTCTGGCACGTAAGAGATGCTCCGTGGTGGCACTCATTCCTTCCACGTTTAAAAGCACTGCAGAAACAGCGGAGAGGGAGGTAGACATAGACGGGCAAAATCGTTACAAACGGTACCAAGTGCACGGAAGAAACAAATGCGGTGCTGAGATGGCACAGAAGGAAGCTGGCCACTAGGCTGACGGAGGGCAAGAAGGACCCAGCGTGGGGAGAGAGGAGGACAGAGGACTCCAGGCACAGAGGGCGGGGATGAGAAGAGCTTGGCTAGACGCGTAGAAAAGGGCAGAGCAGCATGGAGTGGGGCCGGGGTGCAAGGCAGGGCCGATCTGGGGCGTTTTAGACCATGGCGAGGCCAGAGAGAGAGAAAGTTCTGACTTTTCCAGTCTTTCATTAAGAAATGGCTGGGCTGAAAGGTGAGCCTCAAGGGAGCGTGAGTTTTGAAGAAGTGTAATTCGATTGTGGGAAGTGAAAGTAGCATGGGGTGGGGTGTCAGAGGGAGCAGCACTTCAATTCTCAGAGTCGGAGATTTTAGGACTGGAAGGGACCTCAAACCTCTATCTAGGCTAACCTTTGCCTTGCACTGGCAATATAATAATAATGATTATTATAGCAATATATAAAACAGCATGTATTCTGCGGCATGCACTTTGCTAAATGTTTTCATTTTCACCACACCACACGATACTGTTATCAACCACTTTACAGGTGAGGAAATGGAGTTTTAGCAGGACAAAGTTACTTGGCCAAGGCTGGAACAGTCAGGAAGTAGCAGAGCCTGGGTTTGAACTCTGGCCAAACTGGCTGCAGAGACCACACCTCAGAGCACCAGGCTTTACACATCAGTACAGGTCATGCAGAGTCAGATGCATCCTGGATCGGGCCGCTCACAGTGCAGATTAGAACTCTCATCTCCTGATTCACTGCATGAGTAAAGCGTTTAAGACCCAGTAGAGGGCGTGCTAGAGCCAGACTGCCAAGGTTCCAATCATACCTCCACCACTTCCTGGTTTTGATGTTGGACAAAACTATTATTTTGATGACAAAAATAATAAGACCTCCCTAATAGGATTGTTGCAAAGAGGAGAAGAGATGATGCATACAAATAAATTACATTCTAAGCTCTGAGGAGATGTTACCTATAATTACTTTCTCAATTCAGCCCCATTGCCCCTGAAATTCCTCTGCCCAAGGTATTATCTTTCAAAACTCCTCTTAAAGAACTTCCCCAGCTCAGTATTACTACTAACCACCACTATGGCTCCTTGCTGCTCAGCGTTACTACTAACTAACTACCACCGTGGATCCTTGCTGCTCAGTGTTACTACTAACTAACTACCACTGTGGCTCCTTGCTGCCCAGCGTTACTACTAACTACCACCATGGCTCCTTGCTGCTCAGCGTTACTACTAACTAACTACCACCGTGGCTCCTTGCTGCTCAGCGTTACCACTAACTACCACCATGGCTCCTTGCTGCTCAGCGTTACTACTAACTAACTACTACCGTGGCTCCTTGCTGCTCAGCGTTACCACTAACTACCACCGTGGCTCCTTGCTGCTCAGCGTTACTACTAACTACCTACCACCGTGGCTCCTTGCTGCTCAGCGTTACTACTAACTAACTACCACCGTGGCTCCTTGCTGCTCAGCGTTACCACTAACTAACTACCACCGTGGCTCCTTGCTGCTCAGTGTTACTACTAACTAACTACTACTGTGGCTCCTTGCTGCTCAGCGTTATCACTAACTACTACTGTGGCTCCTTGCTGCTCAGCGTTACTACTAACTACGTGGCTCCTTGCGTCCATCTGCAGGGATGCTGCTTCTTGAGTCACAGCGTTCATTTCAGACGTGCAGAAGGTGGAAGGTGTCCTGGGGGAGAACAGTGATAATGGTTAGAACCGTCATAGCCTGGATTTTTTAAAGTAAAGTTTAAGACAAAGGCTGAGCTACTGCAAGAGCGAGGAAAAGGGGAGTGAGGCAGGTCAGAGGAGGCATCACCAGGCTGACCTCAGCTCGGGATCAAGCATAACCGGTTGCTCCACGTCTGGGGACTGTCCTCTAAGAGGCTGTGTTAACCATGACACGGGAGAGTCCACTGGGGGGATGCGGGGGAAGACATTACCTGATGTTTCCCACCTCCCATTCACAGTCCAGCCCCATGCGGAGCTAACTGCCCCCTGCTTCCAGGGTGGTGTCTGACACAGAGGCCGGCAAACTCAGCTCAGAAATTCAGACTGTGGTATACCAAAAGGGTGATTGAAATAGATTCTTTTAGGCATTTAAAATTAGTTTGGTCCAAATGCTAATACATGTGCCACTGAGAAGCACGGAGAAGCCTGCCCCAGCCAGGGCCCACCTAGCACGATGCCTCCTCAGTGTCATCGAGCCAAGAAATTGCACAGGAAACGCTTGGCTCCAGGGACAGAAGGGCTGACTGAGAGTGGGTTGCAGCCAGGTGGGTGGGGGGTGGACATTGTCCCCTCTGATGGGTGCTATGGAGGCAGGGGGTAGCTGGGCTTTGATCGGCAGCTCAAAGAAGCTGTGGCTCTCAACCACCCCCTGTGATCTTTGGCTGTCCCTTCCTCACCACAAAGTGATGGCTGGTGCTCCTCCAGGCATTAGGTCTTCACACAAGGGCATGCAAAGGCAGAAAAAAAAAGGGGCTGGCAGAGTCTCGGGGCACAGGGCAGTGGCATCAAATCTGGACGGGGGACAATGGGCTGACTGCCCGCAGCCTTGGCAGTGACTTGGCTCTCTCTGTGCCCCTGGCTTCCCCTTGCCCAGAGGTTCTCCTGGCTCTGTCTCTCACCATTCCTGTCTTCCTCTCCCCAGCACCTGGTGTCCTCTGAGCTAATCTCTCTCCTGGCAGGAAAACCAGTTCTGCAAGTGCGGTTGGCATGGGGACTTTCAAGTCTTCTGCTTAGCATCTTTTCATTTCTTGATATGGAACATTTCCAACCTTTGTTTCTGGTTCTTTATCCAACTAGGGACTGTCCCTATCTTTCTAGGCCAGAGAAACGGAGAAGTCTAGGGGTACAAGTGGGAGCATTTGGAGGCTGCAGGTCAGCGAGGAAAATCACCAGTGACCACTTGAACAGACGTTCCTTTCCATTAGGTGGAAAACTTGGATCCTCCCACTGACTGGATCCAAGATATGTTTTATTTGGCCCATACAGTGTTTTTATTTAATTGAACCAATATTTGAAAACAGTGTGACTTCACTCCACAACATCATATTTTTAGCTTTGCTTGAGCTTGTAAAATCAGAGACTTAGTGACATTGGGCCTGTGTTCCTGCGTGATGGCGGCTTCTGGTGCTGACTTGGCCTGGCCCATTTAGTTAGCCTTGATCTTGGACCTCCCAGCCTCCAGAACTGTCAAAAATAAATTTCTGTTGTTTATAAACTACCGAGACTCAGGAATTCTGTTGTAGCAGCACAAAGACAGAAGCTTTCATTAAACACATCTACCACCCAGAAAAAAGCAGTACCCTCCTGCCCCCCGTAAAGGGCAACTTTATGGCCCTCCCTAGCACATTTAGTTCGGAACCCTGTCTCCCTATTAAACTGAAAGCACCGAGGGAAAAAGACCATGCCTGTGTTCTTCATTTCCGTAATCGCTGAACCAGTTGGGAAGTGAGTGCTCAACAAATATTAACTAATGAGTAAATAAATGCATGAATGAATGTGCACTTAGGGAGTAATACAGTAATATATAATACAACATAGCTGTGGATGAATTCATTCAGTTACAATGTGCACAGGACCGTAAAGTATTTC